AAGAAGAAGAAGAAGAAGAAGAAGAAGAAGAAGAAGAAGAAGAAGAAGAAGAAGAAACAACTCCCAGCCATCCTGGGACAGAGACACTGTGGACAGAATGACAGCCATCACTTTGGGTGTGGAAACTGAGTTGGGTAGGGAATGTGGGATGGAGAGGGCATTTGCTTCACTTCTGCTGGATGTCTACAGTGACCTAATCTTTGTTAAAAGATTTCCTAAAAAAAAAAAAAGAAAGAAAGAAAGAAAGAAAGAAAGAAAGAAAAAGACAGGCTTGGTGTAGAGCTTTCTTTCACTTTGTTTTCTATTAGGGCAAAAGTGGATGTTTGACATCTGAAGGAAGGGTCAGGCAGTCTGAGTTGGAGGAGGTTAGATTTTGGTTTTCATTTTCATTCTCCTTCTTCATTCAAGTGCCTTTCCCTGGGTGCCTCCACCCTCCACTTTGAAACATGCAAATAAGGTGAACAGTTCCCCACACTTGACTCCCAATTTCCAGAAGATCAAAAAAAGGTCAGCGTGCTCCTCTCAACACCCTCAGCTACAAAGGTGACATAGGGGGAGCAGGGAGGAGACAGAGACAGGATGACACTGGTAGGGAGGAGGGGGGTGGGCAAGTGAAGAGAGAGATGGTAAAGAGGAAAGAGCATGGGGCTTAGGGCAGGGAGGGGGAATGTTCTCAGTGAACTTACACTTGGTATGTTATCGTTGGTACAGACCCCCTCGGACAATAATCTGTCTCGGATTTCCCAAGCAAAGATGGACGGGCACTCCCGCTTATACTGGGCTATTTTGCTTACAACTTCTGGAGTCGCTACTCTCGGTTTACTACCACCGATTGCCCTGGGTCTGATGGAGCCAGTCTCGTAATACCTGCCCAGAATTTTACTCACACATCCGTTGGACACCTGCATAGGGGAAGTGGACAGAAAACCACATTATTAATAATTTCAAGACAAAAATAAAATTGTTTAAGTATGCATTAAACAATGACAAGCTTACGTTTTGATTGTCCAGCACTTGGACTTTTGCATCTGCATGGGTCTATAACACAAAAATATACCTTCAATGGTATGAGAACTTACTGTAGAGAGCTTTTTTTCTTAAAATTACATTTGTAGCCCTAAACACTGCAAATATGATGATAGTTTCAAACAGTTTGAACTAAAAAAAAAAACTAATTTTAAGGTTTTTTATAAAAAAAAAAACTTTTCTGAAACATTGCCTGAAGATGCATCAAAACGAAGTAAGACTTTTTTTTTGTGTGCTGACCTTGCTTAAAGTAGTGCCAAATTTTAATGAGCAAAGGGGGAAAATAAACTAAAATTTTACTTATTTTCCTTTAAAAATATGCTCAATTTTGTAAATGTGAGTTAGGTAAGGAGGTGAATAGCATTTGGCTTTTAAAATCAATAAATATTCCTCATGAATATGAAGAATGCAAACAAATATCTCAAAATCTGAGGTGAGTGTGGCATGAGGGAGAGGGAAATAAAATTATGCTGGTTTATGTAACTCAATTTATTATAGTTCCTAAACTGTTACCACAATAAATGTTTTTTATCAAATGAAAAGAGAAAGGTGTTGTTTTTTTTTAATTCACACACACATTTTTTTTTTTTTTCCTTAAGCAGATGAGTTATCTTAAGTGACTGACCCAGGTTGAAAGAGATAGGGAAGGATACTGGAAGGAAAGGGGAAAGCGGGGAAGGCCGGGTGTGGGGTAGGGGCTGGGGTGGGTGGGTGAAGGGGGGGGTCCATAATTAGCAGCGTTTACAGTAAGAAATGAAGAGAGGGCGTTGAGAGTGGAGGGCCGCGGGGGCGGCGAGTGGGGCGGCGCCGGGAGGATCACCTGCAGAATTCGGGAAATGTCGCACGGCCGGGCCCCGCTGTGAGCTAGCTCTACGATCTTCTGCCGGGTGGAGTCCGGCAGTGGCCGCCCGTTGACAAAGACACCACCGAGCTGATTCACTCCGCTGTGACCTGAGGAAAAGGGAAAGGAGAGGAGAGGAGAGGGGAGAGGAGAGGAGAGGAGAGGAGAGGAGAGGAGAGGAGAGGAGAGGAGAGGAGAGGAGAGGAGAGGAGAGGAAGAAGAGTCAAGAGAAAGAGGAGGAGGAAGACGAAGGAGAAGAGGAAGAGAAGACAACCACAATGCATCCTCAGCTCCCTGCCAACCCATGCCAACCTCAGCGATCAAGTCCCTGCTATCAATCACAAACGACTCCGGGACCAGGCAACCATGCGGGGCATCGGGCAGCCCAGCCCCAACACAGTCGCGCTGTGTTACAGATCCATGCCAGTGAGCAAGAACACACGCACCCCACAGCCGCTGTCACTCCAGCCCTTTGCCCCTCTTCATAAACACCCCAGCCAGCCCCTGAACCCACAAGGTGCAAACAATCGTTTCAGAAAACATCCTTCCAAAGATCGCCTCTGAATGGCATCACAAAACGTGGGTTCTACGGAACCCACACTGAACCTCCAAGGTCTCTGCATTGTTAGAACTGTTACAGCAAATGCTATAGCTCTTCAGCATTTCCTTGGACTCCACAGTCCAGAAATGTTTGCTGTCACACTCCAAACTCTGGTGAAGGCACCGCGCAAGCACCGGAGTTTTGTTTTGTTTTTTAATTACATATATATTACGTGACATTGCATACACATATGAAGAGACAGGAAAGGAGTAGAGAAGAACCACAGCAGCAGATCTGCGGCTGGTGAACCCCAACCTGCGCCTCCAGTACAGGCGTGAGGGTCAGAGCTCCAGATAACTCCAACCACAAAGTAGTCCGCCGGCTTGCAGCTGTGGGGCCGAGAGCTGGGAGTCCATTCGCACAGGCCACAGCTCGCTGTACTTCCGCTGCTGAACTTGGCCTTCCACACAGCCAAGGACAGATATTAGCAAAAATCGGAAAGGGAAAAGAAAAGCAAAGGAGCACACCACAGTGTCTTCTATCCCTCCTTTATCTTGTTATTCTCACAGCCTCACCCCCATTGTCTAATCTTAGAGAACCAGGAAAGGGGGTTAGCACCTCTCTGTAGCCCTCCCCAGAAACCACAGGCACACAAATAAAGCCAATTGCCAATTTCCACTTCCTTAAAAATCTCCAACCTGCAGCCCCGGACTCTAGAGAGCAGCCCTTCCAGGAGAAGACGTGGCTCCCTGCTCAGCTCTCTTCTCTCTCTCTCTCTCTCTCCTCTTCTCTCTTCTCCTTGGAGCCTCTGATAAATTGACTCCAGGAGCCTGAGCTTCTTAGCAATAAATAAGCTCCAAATATAGAAGAGGGGGGAAAATATGATGAGCCTCTCTGACATTTGTCTTTAAAATAAAACTAGCTGCACGTCAAGTTTGAGCTTAATTTCTGGAAATAGGCGGAAGTCGCTCCGGATCATGCATGGAAGGCTAATTGAAAAGATCAGTCGGGGCGCTTGTGGCAGCCTTGTCACTTTGTGACAGTGCTCCGCTCCGGGAAATTGCATCGTCACGACAAACGGGACCGTGATAAAACGACCCTTTCCGTCCCTATTTGTAGATCACTCAGACGAGATTGAACCTCACTCGTTTCCCCTTCGAGGGGAGCCGAGTTTTCAGGGTAGCCGAAGGCTTGGGGCGGAGGGGGGCCCTCACCGACGGAGGGGGGGGGGGGCCGGAGCCTCAACTCGATGAGAAGTGACAGGCGTTTGGGGGATCTGGGCTCCGGCCGGGCCCAGCGCAAGCGGGGACATCGCCGGGACACCACTTCTCCAACAGAGCAAGGCCTCGACCGCGCTTCCGGTTTCCCCTAAGTTCCCTTTATTGCCTTCCTCTGCTTCACAACACCAGTCTACTGCTAGGGCTGCGGAGCCCTCCCTTTGGGCAAAGGGAGCCTTCCCGGAAAGAGAAAGGCTGTCCCAGAGAGAGACCGAGAAAGATTTTACAAACTTCACGCCCAGCCTGGGCAATTCCCAGCCTATGAATGCCAAGGCTTGTGAGGCCGCCTAATCCTAGACCTCCCTCCTTCTCCCCTCATTGCAAAAAAATAAAAATAAAAATAACGTGCCCGCCACCTCCGCGCCGACCGTCGGCGGGTGCTCGCCCAGGAGACGCCAGGTTGCCTCTGCCAGCATCGAAAAGGCAGCGAGGAAGCGCAGCTCTAAGTTCCCCTTCAGAGGTTAAGCCTCAATCATTGTGTCCCTTCCCTAGGGACGGCTGGCGCTCTCGCCCAGTGGCGATGATTATGCGCCTAGAATTCGACCGCGAAGCATCTAATAGGAAAACATATGGTGTCAATTTGGATGCTCTGCGCCTCGCGCACACCCGGGAGCGAGCGGCACAAAGCCCTGCAGGCCGGCCCGCGACCCCGCGCCCCCCCCCGGGGCCTGCCAGCCAGGCCGCGGCGGCAAACGCTCAGCGCTGCGGGCCCCGGCCGGGACCTGCCCGAGAGCCTACGGCTGGGGAGCCTGAGCTGCAGGGGGAGAACATGCAGCCGGGAGAGGTGCACAGAAGCCTTTGCCTCGCCAAGGAAGGTCCCTCCCGGGCCTGGCAGGTTCTGCACAACTAACCCGCCTTAAAGCTCGCCACCTTTGAATCCTTTCCTGCGCTTCGCGCCCACCAAGCCGCGGAAGCACCTGGGGCGGCTGGCGCTTCCAGGCCTGATGGATCGGGCACTGGAGACCCTCCGAAGTCTGCGGTTCGGCAAGGGAAGGTTGCTAGAAGACTTGGGCCCTTCTGCACTCCTACTGCAGCTGAACCCTCGAACTGCTTCCAGACTCTGCACCTCAGCACGGGCCTGGTTTCACTGGGCCTCCAGGCTCCCAGACTCGGGCTGCAAACAAGCCCTGCCACATACCAGCACCCACTACCGCTATCACTCCAGCAGTGCCCCCACGGACTGAGCAGGAAGGTGGGCTGGGGCCCAGAGGGCCTGAGCACAGAGAGGATGGGAGGCAAAAGAGCCCGAGAATCAAACGCACTGCGGGCCTGGACCGATCAGAACCCTCACAGTTGCAGCTACCAGGGCGGAGCTTCTCCAGTTCCAAGGCTGGACAGCCAGTCTCTTCCCAGACCCAGTAAACCTGCTCTGGCCGGTAGTACAGGGTTACAGCGTTCCAGTTTACCACCTCCCCCCACCCCACCACCACCGCAGGCCAGCGTACCCCGCTCCCTTTGCCTTTTAGGCCGGTAGCTGGGGGGGGGGGGGGAGAGGAGGGGAGGAGCCGTCCAGAGAGTGACTGGGGGAGGGAAGCCCCCACGCCCCTCCCGGATGGTGGTGACTAGCAGTCTTGGCTAAACCCGAAGGGGCCTCCTTCTCCTCGGGCAACTAGGAGAAGCCTCCGCCCCGCCCTGTTCAGCCCAGCCTCTCTCTCTCTCTGGGGTCAGAGCCCGGGCAGGGGCGGGGAGGGGGTATGAGTTACAGGATTTGGGGGGGATGGGGTTTCTCTACCTCAGCTTCGCAAACTCTAGCGGGCTGTTCTGAAGGGCCTAGCCCTTGTTCTTCTAGGAGCGAGAGCAGCAGAGTAAACGTCTTCCCCTCTCGGGTTGCCGGGTCTGAAGGGGGGCGCAGCTGTCTCAGGTCCCCGGAGCCTCTTGCCTCTTCCCTCGTGCCTGGCGGGCCTGGCCCGCGTGGACACCCGCGAACCTCTGCGCCCTCCCCTGACCTGCCGGTCTGCGTGTCCCCAGCCCGAAGTCTGAGAAAGACCAGAGGCACTTACTGTTCTGCATGCTGGCACTGGCTGGGGGCCGCGGGATCCCACGGGGCTCGAAAATGGGGCTCTGTTAGCAAGGATATAGGCGTTAATCCAGGGCCAGCGCCAGGTAGGCCCTACCTCCCGACAGAGGACGACCTGGAACCGGGACAGGAGAATGCCCCTTCTTGAGGAAATGATCCACTCAATCGCTTGGGGCCATCAGAGGGGCATCCACCTCTGCCCTACAGTGTATACAAAATCTACCCTCTGGGCTACAAATAAAATACTCCAATATCCCCAAGCTGTTTTCCCCAAACCCCTTAGTAGCTAACTCTTTAATCAGGAGAAACAACCCAACTTTGATTTTTTTTTTTCTTCCACGAGAACAACAATGAACAAGTATTCTGACTTTTTTGGGGTTTGGAACCCAAAGCAGCCACCAGAACTTGCCTGAAATCTGGGAAGTCTGTCCACTCTTACAATAAAAGGTCTCACACATCTGCGCGCCCCTAGTTAAAGTCTTCCCCCTAAGACAAAACAAAAGGAGAGAAAGGTATGTCAAGCTGTGGCTCAAAAGCACAGGCCCATGGGCTCTCAGAGTCACACTCCCAGAAAAACAAAACAAAACAAAACAAAACAAAACAAAACGTGCATCTAGGGCTCAAACTACCATAGAACCCTAAATCTCAGAGTTATAACAACATTTCCAGCAGCCTGTCATGCAGAAGTCCCCACCTTTTAAAAGTAGCTGCTCTGGCCTGGCTTGGGAGAATTGGAGAATCTGACAAGTCGGGGAACCATTTTGTAAAAATATCAAGAACCAGTTAAAGGGAAAGGGGAGCACCAGAGAAACAGTGGCATTAGGAATCGAGGCCAAAGACTAATACCTGAAGTTCAGAGGTGAGGGGAAGGGGGAATCTCAGAACTTCAGGGTGCTTTTGGGTGCAGACTAGGGAAGATCAGAAGGGCTGCAGAGCCCATACTCCTTCCTTAAGGAACTTCACCATCCTAGTGGCTCCAAGGCTCCCAGATCCCAACTCTGGTTACCCCTTCATCTTCCACTCTCTCCCTCAAAGCTTCCCAGTCAGGTCCCCACTCCACCCTCCTCCCAGCCTTTCTGGGACTTTGAAAGTAGCAAGCCCAACTTTTCCCCCCCAAACCTCACTTATTGTGATTAACTTCTCTTTTGGTGTTTAGATCTTCCCCCCTTTTACTGTACTGTGACACACGCTGTCTACCTCGCCTCACTGCTTTAAAAAGTACGAACAGGAGGGGGTGAGCGTGGTCGACAAAGCCTACAGGCAGCGAACAATGGCTTCTATTCTCCAGCTCTCCCCAAACCCAAAGAGCAAAACTGAGTCTCCCTAACCAGCAACACAGCTTCCAACCAAATGTACCAACAACCCACCAACCCACAAAAGGGAACAGAGGGACACTTCTAGCTTTGTAAGTCCTGACCCAGTGTGGGTCCCCCAAGGTTCGCCCTCCACCACCCCCTCCCTGCCTTACCCTAAGAAGAAGGTGGGGGGGGGGGAGAAAATAGAAAAGTAATTTCTTGTTATAAATATCTGGAGGTAATTGTGCTACTGGTGTGAGTTGTTAGGGGCTGTAAAAAGATACAACGGCACCGTGGGGAGCTCAATTGGGAAGAGAGAGTTACAATAAAGAACCTATTCAAGAGGTTTGCAGGAAAAAAAAAAAGAAGTAAAATAATTAAATAGTCACAGCATTATTTCTCCCTGTTTAAAGAAAAAAAAACTAAAATATTCATTCTGTTTTCTTATTGTGATTATTAATTTTGCCTGCCTACAAGCAAAGAATTCCAAGAAGCACATTTTTTCTCTTCAAGGCCATTCATGGTCTAATTTATTAACTAGCTGGGAGGCAGCTTAAATCCATAAAAATAAACTTAAGAGGAGGAATTTACCCAGCTTCTGAATGTGGTCTGGTAAAATTGGAGAGAGGAGAGGGTTACCTAGTTACCTCTAGCTGGGTTGGCTCCCAGGGCCTTCCTCCTGTCTCTCAGTCCCCACAGCCATAGTCAGATCTAGGACAGGCAGGAGAAACCCCAACTTCTTGAAGAATGTGCTCCCCCTCAAAGTGGGACTCCGAAACTGCAGAATAGTAGCAGGCAGGGAGAGGGGAGGTGGGCTTCTCCTAGAAGGGGTAAAACTTCCCGAATTCCTCTCTATAACCCACACTGTACTCAACCACAACTGAATGCCCCCCTCCTGGCCCATACATCCTTGAAGCCATTAAAAAAAAAAAAATATTCACTAGCTGATTCCAGAGAGGCCCAGCCGATTAGTTTTTGAAGCAACTGGGAAGGTGGAAGCATCTCAAGTTCCAGTTCTGCTCCATTCCCACGTCTATCTCAGCTAAGAAGCTACTTAATTACTTAAGTAATCCCTAACATTTAGTGCAAAAGCGACCGGGGAGGCTGGCGACACTGACACCCGGAAGCAGTGGTGGCTGCAGAGGCTAGAACCCTAGTTGCAGCCAGTGTCCCCCAGCTCAGCCCTAGGCTTTCTACAGCCCTAACCTAGTCAGAGACCCACGGGGGGGGGGGGGGGGGGCGGGGGGAAGAGTCTCCAGATGCTTCAGAGTCCAATGGGGCCTTGGTCCTCTAGGCCACTGGGCCACTGCCACCCCCATCCCCAACTCAAGCCTCAGCTTTCAAAAGCAGTTCTTTTAATCACTTAATTCTCAAAATCCATCCTCAAATTCCTTAGCTGGGGTGAAGAAGAGAGCTCACTTTTCGTCTCTACCGGCCCCCAGCCAAAGAGTAATTAGCAATTAAGATGACAAAGTTTCACTCTCTAGGGCCAAATAAGATAACAACTAATCAAATTGCCTTCAGACGTTTGCAAAGGTCGCCGGCTATAAAAAATGTAATGTCAACGGCAACAACTATTATTTGTCCTTGGTAAACTCACCAGGCTTTCAAGCTCTTTGCTTTTCATTTCATTTTCTGCTCCCGCCCCCTCCTCAAACCTTCCCAAGTTCGAGTTAAACGTCCAAAATGGCTTAGGAAGCTTTAGAGAGTATGAGAGAAAAAAGAAAAAGAAAAAAAGAAACCACGTTCACTTTGTTTTTAAACTTTCTAGAAATCACTCAAGACTGGAGGGCTGGGTTTAAGCACTCGAAAAAAAGAAAGCATTTCCACTTGAAATTCAACTCCATTTTCCCCCAATTACACTTGCTAAAATTCAGGGCTATTATGATCCAGGGAGACTGGAAAATCTGCACAAGGAAAGAGGCAACAACTTTATGAACTTTGAAAAGACACTTTTCCTCCTGGGGTCTTAGAATCGAAAAGCTCTCAAATTACTCAGACTAATTAGCTGGGAGAGAATGTGATCAGACGAAGGGGAAAGCCAATGCTTTCATATTGATTTTTTTTTTCTTTTTGAGTCCTCACAAAGAAAAAAAAATCAGGAGATTTGGATTTTTTTTTTTTTTTAAGCAATCCACCTTTCCACCTTGAAACTTGTTGAAATGGCAACACCGGGTTGTAGCTTTGTCAGAGGAAGACAAGGAAAAATACCCACCGAGCCTGGGAGCTGGAGGATAGGGAAGCCCCAGCTTTCGCTGGGCCAGGGCGATGGTTGGGGGAAGCCTGGGGAGCAGAGAGTTTTCAAGTTCCGAGCTCTGCGCTCAAGTTGGGGGCAAGAGCCCGGGGGCTTGATGGAAGCTGACAATCCTGCCGCTCGGCTCTGAGCTCCCTTGGAGCGCGCGTTCGACCGCCTTGGCCTGGTGGCTTCCTTCTCGGCTCACGCTCACTCGCTCTTTCTCTCTGCCTCCAGAGTGTGGCTGCCTCGCAGAAAGACTGCTCCGGCTGGCGGCGGGCGCGGTGCCCCTCGGCGCTCGAGTGCCCGCGGACTCTTCTGTGCCCGAGTGGAGCGCCGCACAAAGCCGGAGGGCGGGCGGGCGGCAGCCCGGCGAGCTGGCTCTTCGGCGCTCCCTGCACACGCTCGCTCTGTGCGCGCTCGCTGGGCCCTCGGCTGGACAAAGCAGCCGGCGGCGCCCGGTCTCCGAAGCCGATCCCGGGCCTGGGGCACCGCAGAGCCTCTTCGTCCTCTGCCGCCGGCCGGGGGCATTTGGCGACGCTGGGGTCGGCAGCCGCGGCTGCTGCTGCGCCCGGAGCCTCGGTTCTTCCAGCGAGCCTAGCCCGTGCTGGCGCTGGCGCTGGGGCTGAGCCGGCCGCCTGCCCCTAGCTCCGCGCCGCTCCCGCTCGCCGGCTGTCGCCCTCCGACGCGGGCTTTCGCTGGAAGTAGAAAGTTTGGGCTCCTGCGTGGAAACTTCTCCGGCCCAACTCTCCCGGCGTAGCAGTGGGGGAGGGGACCGGCCAGAGGGAGGAAGGAAGGAGGGAGGAAAGGGGCGACCTGCCTGAATATTGCAATTAAGATGAAGCAAGAAGAAAGAAGCGGACTCACCTTTATGAGGCATCCTCTTTCGTCAAAGCTCCTGTCAAGAGTTTTGGTTGGTTGGGGTGTTGGTTGTTTTTTTTTTTTTTTTTTTTTTTTTTTTTTTTTTTTTTTTTTTTTTTTTTTTAAAAAACAAAATGGTTTGCAATGACGGTGTTTTAAAGGAGTTGCTGGTGAGAGTTTTCTCCACGGACGCTGCTGGTTTGGTGTGTGAGAGCAATTCTCAGATCCCTGGGAAGGAGACAGAGATTGACAATAAAATGGGCTGTCAGCGGCTGGAGAGTGAGAGATAAAGAGTGTGGGTGAGGGAAGTGGCTGCAGCCAGCACACCTATGCTGATTGGTGATGGCTCAAGTGTGTTAATGTGTGTGTGCCGGCGCCCGGCCTCGCCTCCACCGCTCCTCACTGGCCCATTAGCGAAGCCTGACCTCTGTCATCATCCTCCAGCAAAACACTTCCTCCTGCGCCTGAACCAGAGCGGGAAATGAGGCCGAGCCACGGTTCGCTTTTCAAACCCACTAATCACTCCGCAACATGCAAATGCACCGCTCGCTCCCACACAAAATATTGCTTTATGCAAAGCAGCGCCGGGGCCTCGCGCCAGCCGATTGGATGCTCCCTCTCCCCGCCTGGTGCAATTGGTCCGTTTGTTTGAATATGAATACACTTGTTTTCGGCTCGGATGGTGGGTCCCGGCTTCTCTCCCCGGCGCTGGGCCCCCGAGCCCGGGCTCTGGAGCTGGCGCTCGCCGACATCTCTAAGCTCCTAGCGCTCCGGGAGTCAGCGCTGCCCGCACTGTGGCCACGAACTTGAGGGGTCGAGCGAAGGCCGCTGGGCTGCGGGTCGCGCCCCCCCCCCAACCCCCTGAGCTGGGCGCAGGACTCTCAGTTCGTGGAGGGAGCAAGTTTCTGCAGCTTCTCGAAGCCCTTTCTTGCCAACTCCAGCGCAGCGCGGCCTGCCGCCCCGCCCCCGCCCGCCCTCTCCTCCCGCCCTACCCCATCCCCACTACGGCGCTGGGACGCGGAGCTCAGCAGCGGCCGCGCCTTAGCCCACCTGGCCTCTGGGAAGAAGAAGAGAAAAGGGGAGTGAACGGCACTGGGTCCCGGCAGCAACACTCCGACGGAGGCCGAGGCGAAGCCTAGGCCGAAAGGAGGCCGCCTGGCTGGGAACTAGGCGACGCCCGGCGGCCTCCCTAGTCTAGGCCTCCTGGGCCTGCCCATTCCCCCACTCTTGCTACCCCGGCCCTTTCTTCAGTCCTTTCTCCTTTCGGAAGCCGCGGTGCGCAGCGGAGCGGAGGCACAGCCCCGGCTGGAGAGGCCCGAGCAAACACGCCACTTACTTTGTGTACAGAGGGTTCTTGTGAAAAGCCCTGAAGAGTCCTTACCAAACACTCACCAACTTCTCCCACGTGCCATTTGTTGACTAAGTGCGGCTGCTTTTCCAGGGGCCTGAGAGGAGGGGACGCCAGGGGGAGACGAGAGGGGAGGAGGGGTGGTGGAGGCCTGGGGTGGGGGAAGATGACCAATGCTGGGGAAGAGTCGTGTGTGTGTCTTCGCCGGTGATGTCCGTGTGTCAGCGTGTGTCGATGTGTTCCACTGGTTATCTGTGTGCGATGCGTGTGTCTCCACACCGAAATTCCCTCTCCTGGGTCTGCTCAGTCCCAGGAGGCAGCTCCCCTTCAGCTGTTGCCAGAAAACCGGGAGGAAAGTAAGCAAATGGCTGTTCTCTTCTGACCACACACCAGAAGTCCATTTGTTGAATGCCGGACGATTAGGACACACCTCAGTACACTCCAAAGGCGCCCCTTGGCGCTTGCAGTTAAGGTGACAGGGGAGGGAGCGGCTGTCTACTCCTGCGAAGTCTCGAGTTCTCTCGGAGCTTGCTGTCCAAGTGGCAGGGAAGTGGAAGATTTGGGATGGGGGACACACCCCAGGACCCAGCAAAAGAGAATGGGGATGGCATAGCTGAGGCAGGGAGGCTGAAATGAAGCCACGCTGGGTACACTTGACTCCTCTTGACTTAGGAGAAGTGCTGAAAGTCAGAGCTCATCAACGAACTGTGCACCCCGAACTCGCGGCAGACAGGCGTTGTGGCAGCCTTCTCTGGGAGCTGGAACTGTAAGGACGCTGCAGGCTGCCTTGAGCTGCCGGCCTAGTGTGGGCCTCACACTCTTCTCCCCAATCTGGACCCACTAACGCCTTGACCAAGGAGCCGGGGCAGAGCTCCGAAGGAACGGAGGCCTCCACCGCCCGGACCAGGTTGGGGTTGCACAACTCGCTGACTCTCTCCGCCTGGGGATGGCCCTTCCCGCACGCGTCCCAGGAGCACTCAATTCCGGGAGAAAACCCAGGCCAGAAGCGAAGGAGGCGGTGCCGGGCGCTGGGGTCAGTGGCCTCTCCAGTGTGAGATTTCGTAGGACCGCGACTTTAGGAGGATCCCGGGAAGTGGGGCATCGGGCCCAGGTCCCAGACCAGCAGGAATCTGCGTACCTTTTCTCTCCCTTTTTACTTCTCAAACAAGCGTTAAAGAAGCTTGAACTCAAGTCCATTGGCCATAGGCAAAGGGGGGGGGGGGGGATGAGGCCCAGAGACTGTCCGAACTGGAGGCAAATATCAATTTTACAACCTTTCAATTAGCGACCGAGTGGATTAGCACCTTCTTAAGCTTTGCCTCGGAAAGAAGCAGCCATAATCTTGTTGCTATTTCCCCCCCAGGGCACTGGCTCTTTGAATTAGCTCCTTCTCCCACTCCTCAACCCCCATCTCACCTCGGAGAAAAGTTTTAACAACAAAAAAATCATAACAGGCCAGGAGCCGGGAGTGAATGCCGCTGACGTCATTGGGTGGGGGTGGGGGCTAGGGGAGGACTCTTGCAAACCCCTCTGCACAAACAAGAAACAAAAAGGACTTGGCTGCTTCCAATGTGTCAATATTTGGGGGGGAGCTCAGCCCAAAGGGAGGCAGAGTTTTCAAAGTTTAAGGAGAGAGGGTTGGAGAGCGAGATTTCCTGGTCTCCCCGGAGGAGAGAGTCTCTGCAATCTCAAGGAGGGTGCGAGTGCTGTTCTACTTGGTGGGGCGTCTCGCGCCCTCTGCGAAGTACCCGTTCTGGTGGCGGCGCGCGGAGCTGGGACGAAGGTGCAGCAAGCCTGGGCCAGAGGTGTATGCAAAATTGAGACAACTCTCAGGTCGCCATTTTAATTGCGGCTTTCAACGGGACCGAGGCCCACTTGCTGCCCTCCAGGGCGGGGGAAATCGCGCTTTCCGTTTCAGTGTCGCCTTTTCCCGCCTCTCGCCAGGTACTCCTGCACCCCACCCCCACCCCCTCCCGCCCCTTGGCGCCGGAGAAGGACGTCTTTTCGGCCTCTTCCCGCAGGGGCCGCCGGGGTCATCCAACAGGGTAGGGGAGGCTCTCCGTGCCGAGGGAGTCGCGCTGGGGGATCGCAGCTCCCTGAGAGTGCCCGCAGCCTCCGACCAGTATTGGCGCACAAGTGTGAGATCGGGCAGCATCTCACCCCCAGCAGTCCCTGGTGTTTTTGCCTGTACCCACTCCCCAGGTTTTCGGTCCAGAGCCGGCCCCTGGCAAGGCAAAGACATGTCCAGTGCTTGAGAGATGCGCATTCGGCTGTCGACTTCAGAACCAAGAATCTCCTACCCGGTGTCGCGACACCTCTGAACTGCCGCTTTCCACCGCCAACCAGAAGTACGGTGCTGGCGCACGGGGAAGGGTGGAGACGAGCTTTTCTCTGAAGGAGGAAAGTCTCCGCAGACACCTGCTCACTTTGCAGAGCCTCAAAGGACTTTCTCTCTCTCTGCAGGCCCTAGGAAGGTGGGTTCCCAGGAAAGCCAAGCTGACGAAACAGGGCAAACCAGCGTGAAAGGCAAAGGCGCCCACCCCTGCCACCCAGTTCGGGGTGCCTCCTTCACTCGGGGTCTTTCTCCCTCTCCTTTCTCCGGCATCCTGCGGGTCTCCAGCTCACTCAGCAGCCTCTGCGAGCCCAGACCGCGGGAAAGCCGGGGAGAGCCGGGAGCCGGCAGGGTGGCGCCTCCAGGCTGTGACCACGCTCGGCTACGGAAAGCCGCGGTGCTCTGGCCCTTCCTCACCTCTTGCCAAATGACAAGTGTGTCAAGGCGCTCTCTGGGTTCAGTCTTCTTTCATTCACATTAGGCGGCAAGAGTCTCTCTCTCCTCCTTCCCCCCCAGAAAAATACTTTTTAAAAAGCATTATCCAACTGGGTCTCCCAGCGAAGAAACCCCTACAGCTTGTACGCAGGTGGGACTCCCAAGCCTTTGCTTCCCGGACCCTACTGCTGTTGTCCAGATAGGGGCCAGTTTTAAAACTCCTGGTGTGTAGAATACTTGCAAAGCAGTGGCACTCTCCGATTTTTGCAAGTAGGATTCTCAGGAAAGTTTGCTTTCCATTTCATCACCCTGGACGGTTCCCCGTCTCTCCGTTGCCCGTAACCTCCTCCCTCAAGCGGCAGAAGAGTTCAGCTTCAAACGAAAAGCAAGCCAAGGCCACCTCAGTCCCTTCTCCCAGGAGATTCCAACTTAAAACACCTGCTTGTTTTAAACGCCAGGGACTGAGTCCTGCAATTTGTCCGGGAGTGTAGCGGGGAACAAGCGAGCTGGGAACTGGGGGCTTTGCTGGGGGATTTGAGGTTGGGGAAGGGGGAGGGAGCAAATGTCATGGCTGGCTCGCTCGAGCAGCCAGGGAACCGGAGCTAAGCGTATCGGGCTTTTAAAATGACATTGATTGGGACAAGCTGTTCCCCACCCCAGTAAGAGTTAATCTGCCTGTTAATCAAGGCACTAAGGGGCTCAATGCGAGTTTTATTAGCGATTGGAGCAGAGGCGGCAGCGAGGGATCAAAAGCCGGGATCCCAGATATTTGTCGGTGCGGTCACAAAAAAAAAAAAAAGTATTTTCAATTAGAGAACAATTCGGCGCTTTTCATCACTTTCTAACTCTGACTTGCAGATGGTGACTTACAAACCTGGCTAACGCGGGAGACGTGGGGGGTGGGAGAGTAGGGGTGGGGGGAGGGAACCGAAGCCCGGCGTAGCCAAGAGGCGGGGGGCGGAGGGGGGGGTGAAGCTGCGGGTTGGCTCCGCGGAGTTCCGCGGGGGAGAGTTCAAGAATCCTCCACCTGGGGCCCCAAAGTCTGAGATTCCTCCGGAGAGGAGAAAGAATGAAAAATAAAACAACAAACACCACCAGCAATATCCGCATTCATCCCTCCCGGTCGGCTCCCCACTGCTCAGGCCGCCTCTGGCTCCGGGTGGCGTCTGGGCCCCTAGCGTAGCAGCCGGGAGGGCCGGAAAGTTTGCGCAGCGCAGCGAGAGGGACTCTCCTTCCGTCTCTCCCGCTCTGCCCCCTTCTGCCCCGGAGGGGCGTTAGGTTCCTTCGGTTTTCCTTTCATATTCTAAAATAAATAAATAAACGCCCAGGCCCTGGGGAAATTTGAATAGTAACTCATTCAATAATCCAAATTATATGAAAGGGTCTAAGAAAAACTGGACAAGCCAACCACATACGCCCTCCGATCAAGGAGGGCACAGGAGTGAGAAGGCGACAGAGGAGGTCTCAGTCTCGCCCTGGGCGCGGGGAGAGAACTCTGGTCAGAGGTAATTATGTCACTGCGTTTTCTCGCCGTGACAGCCGAATAAACACGATCTCCAATAAACATCTCTAATGAGGGAGGAGGCCCGAGGATGACGGGGTTTGATTTATGACTGGAGGAGAAGGTCCACTTCCCACTGCGAAGCGGGCAACCTGCTTGCCGCCCAGCTCCGGAGAAAGGAAACCGCGGAGGAGAGAACCAAGGCCCAGGTAAGGCGCACGGCCGGTTGGCCACTTCCCTCACTCCCTTGCTTCTCAGGCAAGGTGGGCAGGGCCCCCCGCGCCCCCCCCCCCCGCTGGACAGTGATCCCAAGCACCTGTCACAGGTGCCTGAGACACAAACGTCCTCCGAAGGTGCCTCTCAAAGGTCTAGAGAGATGGCGTCAGGGCACGAGTGGGAGTGAGGGGCGAGCCCCGGCCTGACGCAGAGGCCTCCCCGGGCCAGCGCTCCTATGCCATGCCTAAGCCCGCTTCGGAGTCTGTGGCCGCTTGGAGCTGGACTTTCGGAACTTTCGCTCCGCAGAACCACCAGGTAGCCTAAGTTTAGGGTGGTCCCTTCCCTGACGCACTTCGGAGAAACTTCTGGCGCCGGGCTTGGGCTGTCCCGGGGCAGGAGAGTGGCCTGGCGCTGCTCTCCCCGGCGCTCAGCGGCCAGCCTCCCCTGACGCCCACAAGCTTCTTACCGAGACAGCGAGCGCAGCGCCCGCGGTAACCAGAGCCCGCGTTCTAGTTCAGTGAGAATCGTTAATTATTAGGTCTTCCGAAGTGAAGCTCAAATCACACGCTGGGGCTTTACGTGCTGCCCAGCTCTGCGGGCAGCATTCTTTCGTCCTCCGCTCCCTTCTGAGAAACGAACTCCCATCTCTAAGACTTTGTTTCGGTCCAGCCATCTACACTTTGCAACGGCTGGAAACTTTTGCAGCGCTCCGCCCGACCCGCGGCGGGGCGTTTCCACGCGCTCCGGGCGCTGGTGAGGACTTCGCGAGTGCTTGTCATGAACTGAGATTTGGGAGAGTTCTGGGTGCAAACTGCATCCCCTCCTGCATTTCTCACGGTTGCGAGCGGCTTCTGCAGATAGCAGCAGCAGATCCCCATCTCCCACTCCCCGCCCCTCCCCCCCTCCCAGCTCAGCGCCCAACTAGAAGTCCACTCTAGGAACTGGAACATTTTGCTACTTTTGCAGAAAAGCACCCTCGGCAAAGCTAAGAACCCTTCTCTCCCCACCCCCACCGCCCGCCATGCTATCCCGCCCTCACTAACTCCACCTTTGTAATGCCTCCTTTTAAAAGCAAAAGTCAAGCCCCTGAGCTACTTGGAGGCAGCCTTGGATTTGGGAGCACCCATCGCGAGCAGCAGAAAGGCGGCGCGGGGCCCCAGCCGGACGCAGGCCGGAGCCTAGGCAGTTACCTGGGAGCGGAGGGCGGGGAGGCAGGTGAGCCTGGCGGCGCGGGTTCCCACACGTCTCACCGCCGCTCGGCAGGGGAAGTGGCAGATCTGACAGCCGCTTTCTACGCGAGGACCTGCCCCAGAGTTTAAATGTCAATGATAAGAAAAGAGGGTGCTCAGGCAGGCGCTAACTTTCCTTAATATCCATGCCAGCGCGGTCCTCATTGGCTGCCCAACCCGCGTGACGTCATGGCGGCTAGAGTTGGGCTCCGCTCCGCGCAGACTTGCGCCGGGGCCCGGCGGGAGCCTTCCCCTCCCCACCCCGAGTCGGGTTCGCTCTATGCCCTGCCTTGGCCTTCCAGAGTCCAGCACGTAACTACCCACGCCCAACCCGGCCCGGGTCCGCCCAGCCCTCATTTAGGGCGTAGTCAACCCCAAGGAAACCAGTCCTCCTGAGTGCTCTCTTCCTCCTCGCGGGTACGCGGGACCCTGCCACTAGGCTGGCCAGCTACCTTCCCAGGTGCCCATCCGGTCCCCTCCTCCGATCACCGAGGGAGTCACTTTATCTGAGGGACTTGGAGGCTGCGCCTGGGTTGAGAGGGGCCTCTGGCAGGAATGGTTTTCAGGAGGAGCTCGAGGAACGATGGGTACCCTGGTCTGGCCCTCGCGCTTGCAAAGTCACCAGCTGGGCACAGTCGAGGGCTCCGGGGAGAGGACCAGCGAGCCCTTACCCCAGGCTACGCCAAAGTCCTGGCCAAGCCAACTAGGTTCTTGTGAGGACGCTCCAAACAGCACCCGACTCGCCCCCTTGGGCTGAAAGACTCCAGTCACACAGAAAATATAGGTGATTTAATGAATCTTTGACGTGGTGGTTAACTGCTCACTTTGTGGCCTAGAGGAGGAAAATAGGAAAATCGCAGGTTCTGAAGTCAAGCTTCCCCTTCCAGGAGCCGAGAAAACAACAGAAATTGGGGCTAGGTGGCCTGGTTACCGAGCTGGCTATCTGCTTGTTTTCCCCTCACACCCGCCGTGGACTGGGAGAAGGTTTAGTAGAGCTGGGCTGGCTATCGTTGGAAGGGTACCTAGACCTGCATTGTCCTTCTCGCGTCCCCCTTCCCCCCAAATAGGGGAGGGGGCTTCTCAACGTTTAATCCCTTCCTGCTCCGCGTCCGTCCGGGTCTGGAACTAGGAAGTGACAGAGGTCCATCCTGGAGGGTAGGGGGCTCTTGACAAGGTGGCAGGAAGGGAGGTGGTGGGGTATGGAATGGCCTTCAGGCAGCTCCTGGGCCTTCAGCCCAGTCCTGGTAGACCTGGGAGCAGGTGTGTGGGCAAAAGAGGAGGGGGAGGCCTAGGCCGGAGGAGGCTTCCGGGGCCAGTGCCTCCGCACTTTGCTCAGGTGGGGGAGGAGAAGGGAGAGGGCTGCACTGAGGGCGCAGAGGCGAGAGAGGTGCTGCTCCCTCCCAGCACACCTGGACAGGTGTAGGACTTCACAACGGGTCGGAAGGCAGGTCCGGGGAGCCCGTCTGCAGGCTCCTCCTGGCCGGACTTGATTTTATTATTTTTATTTTTTGCTCAACCCTCCGAGACCCTGAGGGTAGAGCAGGGGAGGAGAATCGGAGCCAGCTGGCAGAGAGGTAGAAGCGTGGTGTTCTTTCTTATTTTAAAAAGTTCCCCACACTTCTTCCCATCTCAGCCCTCTGCTCTTCCCGTGTCAGGGGCAACGAGCATCCATTCCCCTACTGGCCACTCTAATCTGGGGCAGGACCCTACCACTGCCCAGTCTCCCCGAGCCAGACTCCGCTGGGGATTGGCTCTGGGAGGCGTTTGCGGGGTTTCTCTGCCGCCACCGGCCTTGTCCTGTGACCTGGTTTCTTGGTAATCTCCTAGCTCCCCTCCAGGACCTGGTCCAGCCCCCGGCCCCGGATGGCCTGAGGTCCCCTCCGCTCCGTGGTCTGCCCTGGATTCTGGACTGCGAGTAGGCCCGGAGCCTGAGTAGGCCTCCCTACTCTCTAGTTTCTGCCCCTTCTCGCTCCCCACCTACCCCCTCTGTCCGGACCGGAGGCCGCCGGGAAGGCTGCTCCGAGCTTGTTTGGAGTCCAGGCCATTAAGTGTGCGCGGATCCCTGCAACCCAGCAGGGTGCTCGAGAGCGACGCTGGAAACGCCATGATCCCCGCCTGCTTATCTGCCTGTCAATAAAGGGCGCGCTCGGGCCGCGCGGGAGCGGGAAGCGGTGGAGGCGAGGCCGGACCAGGCCCTTCTTCCGAGCTCCGGGCCAACGCCGAAGCCGCTCTCCATTTGCCCCCGGCACAGCAGGCAGGGCGGGAGGAGGCAAGGGAAGCCCGTGCCGGGGTCGCCACCAGGGAAGGCGCAAGTTGAGCCGCTGCCGAAACTCGGTACCCAGGGTCATTTGTTACCAGAGAGAACTCTGGAGATCCTCCCAGAACCCAAGAGCCGGGGACTCCCCTTCCAGCCTGCGCGGGTCTTGTGGACGTCTCGGCCCAGCCCGGCCCCCTCGTGGTGCTCAGCCTGCGAGGCCCGGCCTCGACCCACCTAGGCAGAGGCTGCCTCTCTAGGCCGCACCTGGCAGAAGGGCACCGCCGGAGGCCCGGGGGCGTCATGGACGACTGGCAACCTGGGATGCAGAGTGAGACCAAAGGCGGGCTGGAGGTGGGGTGCAAAGGGCCAGAAACGGGAAAGAAATCACTTTTCTGCCAGGCTTCCCCTCAGCTCAGGCTAGCCCAGACTGAAATTCTCTGACACCCAGGGTAGTCCCAAGCCCTGATTCTCCACAGCAGTGAGCGAGCTTGGCAGCCGCCCGGTCTGCGGGGGGCTCCCAGGTCAGCCCCGGCCTACCACTGCCCGAAGCCCCGTGACGCCACGTGGGGACTGATGGGGGTGAGGGGCCTGAAATAGGGGGTAGGGGTGGAGGAAGGGAGCGAAAGGACCGATTAGAGGGCAAGGCTTGGGTGGAAGGACAGCGGGAGAGGGGACGATAGAGAGCCGTTTTGGCTTGAACTGTAGCTGAGATCTGTTGTTCTTGTCCAAGGTATGTTTCTCTCTCTCCTCTCTCGCTGTCTCTCTTTCTCTTTTCTCTCTCTCCCTCCCTCCCCCCTCCCCCCCCTCTCCTTAACTGCTTTATGCAAATAAAGCAGCTTTCAGATTGGGGGAGCCCCTATGTTGGATCTATGCTTCAGGGTGGGTAGGAATTGATTTGGTATTTTTCTTTTCTCAGAGAATGGGCATTGAGTCATGCAACAATTGAAAAGTAGAAATGGATGTTTCCCCTTCAGTATTTTCATTTCATTTTACTAAGTTGGAGGATAATGCATCCTGTTTGTTAGCTTCTATTTAAAAAAAAAAGTATTATTTTAAAATAATATAATATGATTTAAAATTATTCCTGAATGGGTGCCAGTTTCTAAAGGGATTTAATAAAACTCTTTTGTATAAAGAGTAATAGACGAAGAGGCAAAAGTCCCTGACTAATTGAGAAAAAAAAACCACAAACTTGTGTATATTGTGTGTCATTTCAAATAGGTACATGAGCCAGAAATCCATATATTATCTATTATCTCAGGAATTAAATTTACTGAGCAGCGCCTGTGGCTCTTGCCCTTTCTTCTCTCCCTACTCTTCCTCTCCTTTAAGTGACAGGTTTTTAAAACAAGATTTTGATTTTAAGTAAAAATTGGAGAAATGTTTTGTAAACCTGGGTGTCAAAAAGGGAAACATTTAGCAAAGCTAATATTTGCTGTCTCTTCACTCAGGTCTAAAGAACTGCATAATGGCATGATTTATGCAGGAGTGTGGCTTCTCTGCTATT